TAACTTCAGCTAGGTGTTTACAAGAATTCATGTGCCTATTGACAGCAGTGTCGGTTAGTTGAGTCAGAGGGATAGCACTGACCCTACTTACAGCCTTCAATGTTCTTCGTAGTATTATATGGTCTTTCTCGAGTAGCCCAGGGAAGAATAATGGAGAACAATAAAGAATGATGGACAAAACACATGAATTAATAAATTGTATGAGAAGAGATTGGGTTATACCTGAGTGCCTCAACTTCTTTATGTAATAAGTCAGACAGAAAATCTTTTTAGAAACTATAAGAATATGGGACGACCAGCAAAGGTTTGAAGAGAAGCTAATGCCAAGATAAGAAACACTTGACTTACTCTCTATCATGTTACCATCAATATTACAACAATCATGAGATTGGATCAATCCATGCATGTCTTTTTCACTTCTCAAGCTGAAATCAACAGTATTACATTTAGTTGGATTTAGTTTAAGACCATTTGAGCCAGACCAATCCTTAACTTCAGCTAAGAAGCCATCCATATGGGAACAATCCGATGTGGAAACTACAGGGACAGAAATGGTCAGATCATCAGCATACTTAATGAAGTTAACTTTGGGTGAGTTCGGAAGGTCATGCAAAAAGAAAGAGAAAAGAAATGGAGAAAGTACTGCACATTGAGGCACACCACTTTCAGTTAGCTGAGAAGTGGAGCGCTTTCCAGCCAAAACAGTATGCTGTTTCCTATCCTTAAAATAAGAAGACAGCCATCTAGTTGCCCAGGTCTCTGTCTGTGCTGAAATCATCTTTCCTAATAAAAGTGTCCTAGGAACAGAGTCAAAAGCTGCAGTATAGTCTAAAAAAGCTGTTCGAACGAACTTAGCACCCTTATCAAGGCAGGAAACAATATTGTGGTGTAGTACAACGGCTGCATCTAATGTACTTCTTCCACACTTATAAGCAAACTGCTTAGGGTCACTAAAAGCTTTTAAAGAAGGTTTAAGAATGTTCAAAAGAAGTTTCTCCATAGTTTTCAAAAAAGGAGATGTTATAGCAACCGGTCTAAACTTTATACCTGCTCCAGAAGATGATTTCTGTACAGGTACAACCTTGATTTCTTTCCAGTCAGCAGGTACCGTTTCCCTGTTGAATGATGCATTAAAGATTTGAGTAAGAGGATGACACAAGATGTCTGCACACTTTTGAAGAAGAACGCCTGGTACACCATCTGGACCAAGGCTGTGTGTTGGATTTAAAGATTTCAAACATAATAGTACATCCTCTTCTTTAAAACCCGGAAAATGACCATTATCTTGACTAGGTAAATCAGGTACAACCATATTGATTTGTCTCATGATAAATGATTTGTTTAAAGCATTAACATCAGAATAAGCATCAACCGACATTTGTATTTTACTTGTAAGTTTATTGAAAAGTTTCCAAATGTAGTGCCTTCTATGAGCATCCACTGTATTCTGACATGGCAGACACCACTGGCTATGGACTTTTCAGTACAGCCTAAGGACATCCTCCATTCAGTAGCCAACAGTGAAGTGAAGATCGATATTTATTTAGATTATGGGTTTTTTTCGAAGGTGTACTCACTGATGAAGAGTCTCAAACTAGGACAAAACGACTATGCAGTATACTTCCTGGAAGTTTTCAGTGTTCTCTAAAATAACTATAATCTAAGTATGGAACTGTTGTAATTTGAGAATGCTTTCACATGGTACTAGCTGTTAGCATACAAATGGAACAGTACAGCTGAAGGGAATGATATCTGCCCCTAGCATCTTGAGTAAATCCTGATAATCTATTCGACTGACACATTTTAAACATAAGATCAATGGCTTTCATTTCTCCCATACAGGCATCATATTAGTTGACAGCGATATCTGATAGTCAACTATTTACCGCTACGACCAGTATTAGATATGCTAAATTCACCATACCATCCGGTAGCCAAATGGCTAGTTGAACTCTTACAGCCCCTTTATACTGAGTTGGTGAGACATAGTGTAAAGGATACATTTGGATTCGTTGAAAGGATAAGAGATTTAAATGTTGATAATAAATTTATGATATCATTTGACTTATCTTCTTTATTCACCAATGTACCTCTCATGGAAACAGTGGACTTTATATGTGAAGAACTCAAAAGACGAAACATCGAGATTGGCATTCCTATAGCTTTCATGAAGGAGCTTCTCTTGAAGTTTACAATGAATGTCCACTTTTTATTTAGTAAGGAACTATATAGACAAATCGGCGGTGTGGTAATGGGGTCACAACTAGGACCCATTCTAGCCAACATTTTCCTGGCGAAACTAGAAAATGTTATTAATGAACTCGAATTTTTTTTGTCGATACACGGGTGATACTTTTTTGATTATGAAGAACGAAAAGGAGGCAAAGAACATCCTGGACAAATTTAATGAGGTACATCCTGCAATAAATTTCACTATTGAGAAAGAAAAAGATTCTAGTATTTCATTTCTAGACGTCCTTATGACCAGAAAAGAGGATGGCACAATAAGAAGAAGTGTTTATAGAAAACCTACATCAACGGCCCAGTACACACATTTTCTCAGCTTTGTGCCCTTGAAATACAAACGCAATCTAATTAAATGCTTGGTCCACAGAGCAAGAGAGATTTACTCGGATGAACGTCTTGACGAGGAACTTAACAATATAAAACGGTTGCTAAGTGAGAATGGTTATGCCGAAAAGTTTATTGATAAGAATCTGAATCTGAAACCAAAGCAGCCCAAGTTACCAACAGTTCCAAAAAAGGCCTTGTTCTTACAGATGCAGCTCCTAGGAGACAACACCAGTGAGATACTAACACATCGCCTCAGAAATGCGGTAAAAAGAGCATTCCCTGCTGCTCAATTACGCTGTATCTTTAAAACCACTCCTCTTCTGTGTTCGGGAATAAAAGACAAACTGCCTAATTTCGCCTCTTCCATGTGTATATACCAATTTAACTGCTCCTGTGGAGTGAGCCAGTTAGTTGCATAGGCCGTACAATTAAGCGTGTTTCTTGTCGAATTTCCGAAAATCACCCTGCCTGGTTAAGCTAAGGACAAACAAAATCTATTTGCAGCGCTATTCTGGCTCATCTTGTGGAGACAGAACACAAAATTGACGTTTATCATGCTTTCAGGGGCATTTACCGCATACCTACGAATCTCAATTTTGCTTTAAGAGTTCGACTACTAAATATTGCTGAGGCTGTGAGGATCCATATTAACAAGCCTAATTTATGCATCCAAAAGAAGTTAGTTCAGACATTATCATTATCTTGGCCATCCAGGTTTGAATAATCCAGAATTTTTGTGAAATTTCCCTAATTTTAGTTGATATTCTATTCGCTATTATATCTTTATTATTATTAAGTAGAGTAGTTCATTGACTAAATTCACGTGTTTTTGCAAGAGAATAAGTAGAACTAAACGTCCTCACTAAGATTCTGGATTCAGTGTTCAATGTTTCAACGCTCATCTTATATTAAAATGTTTTAATCGAAGTAAATACCACGGTTGAATATTGACGATTGATGATTCTATTATTATTTTATAAATTCAGAATTTTATTAATCTGAAGGTGGATTTTGTACACGAACTGATATCAGTCAAATCAAAGGAGCATTGGATAGCTGTTACGTCTTAGTTTGATACTGTTCATCAGCGTGCACCACACCAGCAACCCGGCTACGGACTGAACTCCGAACCTTTTAGTTAAAAAGTGAACCCACTGACTATTCATTCTTTTGCATTCCGTGTGGGACTTGGGATCTTAAACTTTGACCGTGGAAGTGGTGTTGTTTCATCTGTAGGATCGGGTCGCTAGATTTAAGCTTATAACCTTCCCACCTCTCTGGGCTCACTTTAAGTTAGCATACCAGGCGGCATTTAGGAGTGCATCGATCTGGAAAACAACCTGAACCTCCCTTATGGCTGAGGGACATTGCACCAATCAACTTAAGCAAGAGTGTAGTTATGCATGTATCTCATAGTCACGTGCACAATTACTCAATGAATGGCATTACTCTCCCAGTGGTCACTGAGTACAAGGACTTGGGAGTGGTTGTGCAGCATGACTTGAAAACAGCAACAAACTGTAGAGCTGCAGCCACTAAGGGTTTTCGAATATTATGGGCCATACGCAAGGCTTTTGCGAACTTTGACGCTGAAATATTTCGTATATTATATCCGACTTATATCAGACCTCATTTGGAATATGGGATCCAGGCAGCGAGCCCGTGTTTCAAACACGAAATAGACTTATTAGAAAGGGTGCAAAGAGTAGGAACTAAGCTAATAAAGGGTTTCTCAACCCTCTCATATGAAGAGAGGTAAAGTCGACTGGGTTTATTTCCACTGTCATACAGACGACTTAGGGGTGACCTAATACTAGCATACCGTATCCTAAGAAATGATTTTGGAGCAAATTTATCTAATTTATTTCTTCCTTCTAGCACCAACCAATTGCGAGGACATCACCTCAAGGTTCAAAAACCACGGTCGAATCGTCTGCGTTTGGAGACCCGTTTTTCGCATCGGATTGTGAACCATTGGAACTCCCTACCGGAACACGTCGTATCAGCGCCATCCGTTGATTCATTCAAGGCGAGATTGGACCTCCTGTATGTAACAAATCGAAAGGATTAACACAGGCATATAGCCTACTATCCTAAATAAATTGCAAACTGTAAACTACCCATCGATTCCCACTCGACTCAACCCCAATTCTCCCCTAGTTTACTACCTCATAGTGCACCCGGAAGGTGAGGTGCAAGGCGATATAAACAACATCATGGCTGGGTAAACTTCACAAGGCTCGAAGTCCTATGTTCCAGTTGGAACAGAAGAAAATTAGCCTAGTGACTGAATGCTTAACAGTCCTGCGTTCAATCCCTAGTTACATAGAGTATAAGTTTCAGTGGTGCCTTTTATATATGTCAAACAATTTTATCATATCATACTTTTGATTCATTTTAATGGTTTCCATTTTTGCTTTTTACAGGGAAACCTTTTGTATATAGTAGTCTCAATGCCTATGGGGTTTTAGATAAATCAATAATAGTTTCATGCAATGTGATCAGTTTTCTTGAGCTAAATTTTTCTCATCCAATATGGTCTTTTAATGGAAAATATATATTGGACGACAACTGGGGTAATAACAATAATAATAAATCTCTAATTGCCATTAATGCATCTTCATCATGGAATTCAAAAATATCAATTTCTACAACTCATCATCACTATGCATTACCACTATCTAAATATATAATTAATAATAGAAAATATTCATTTGGCTGGATCAGTACATTACGGATAAATAGACTGTTATTGGCTGATGAAGGTATCTATCAGTGTGCTTTCACTAATGACCTGGGAACAAGTTCATTTAGAATTAATTTACAACTTCAAGGTAAGTTAATTGCATCTACCAGAAAAGCGTTCTTTTATTATTCTTTCGAAAATTTTGAGTTACTTTGTAACTATTTAAGTAGTTTAGGGTTAAAAACAAAAGTTTTCAGTGTTCAGTGTAGGTGATTTTTTCTTCAATGAAAAAAAATGAAATTATTGAACAAAGAATATTCGTTTCGACAACTCCTTCTTCTTCCTCAATTCCTACACTTACATATTTACGAAAATGTACTGCAAGTTACTAAGACGTAACTAAATCCAACAAAAAACTAGAACGGTGATCCGTCACAAATTTAAAAACTTTAATTCTGTTCAATCAAGTTGATGAACATATCACAAAAACAGTTAGAATAATATTTCAAAAGGGTAGTAGAGTTGAAATGGATGAACTACAAAATTACGAGAGATTATTTGCAGAAGAAAATTGGTTTTAAAAGGTTCAAAGTAGGTCCAGTGATGTCGAAAATTTAAATTACAGTGATGACAACAGTTACGATAGTGAAGATAAACTGAAATTGAATGAAATTAACCAGTGAAAAACATTATTAAAATCAAGGTGAAGGAAGAGGTGTAAGAAAACATTTTTTGAACACTCATTTGAGCCGTTTGCTTATGGATAGTTAGAGCTCCGGCTTTACACAAGAGGAGAAAGCGTAAATTCAGCTCATTTAGTGCGTCTAGGTCGACTGATTTGGAGGAGATGGTTAAAACCTGTTGGATATATCGTGGCAGCCGTTGCAACCACATCTAGAGTAAAACCACTTCGTCAGCTTTGTGTGGATTAAGCAGTTGACGCATGTGCCTGAGGAGCTGAGATGGAGTTCGTGAGCCTAACTCGTATACAGTAAGTAACTGTTGGATCCGTTTCTTATGGGAAACGCTCCTTCTTTGAATCAAGACTGCTTTGAGCCTATCATACTGGTGTTCTGCAGGGGCGCTGCCAATTAAATCACTAATGTCCGCTAGCACCTCTGTGGGCAGTGCGGCTAAAACACATCCATACTTCGCGAGCTGTGACTTGATTCCGCGGGTAGCTAAGAGGGGTTCGATGTGGGCGAACCAAATCCGCGGCTCAGTGAAACCGAATGGCGGTAGACGCAGATCGACTATTGCGTTGATTGATGAGTCTTGTGCCTCATTTGTCTCAGTTGCAGCAGGTGAACGTGTAGGTGCAGACATGATTATTATGCGAATATACAGGTACACAGATATAAATATATAAAATGTGCAGTCAAAAATAAAAATAATAACATTAAAAATATAAGGTTTTTATAAAACTAAGATGTTCAAACGGGCTCACCAATTAATTTGTAGGGGACTGTTTAGAGCAAGTTCATTAACATAAAAAATATGCGAATAAAAATCCAAGTCAATGAGAGTACAATTCAACAATATATTATCAGAAATGCAGTAATGAGTTATATTAATAAAAAGGTTACTTGGATATCTTGTTAAAGTCCACTGCTACAAATTATTTATATAATCCACAGAAGCGTTGACTGTTGGAATCATGTCTACTGATAGAAGCTGTGTTCCGGTTGTAGAGTTGTCTTCGGATAAGGATAATAGGTTCCTGCAATAAATCCAAAGTATACAACACGGTTTGAGTCGGGTGAGTTGACAGAAATGGCCAGAGAGAAGGCGGAGCTACCAACAGTATAGTGTATTTCAATTGCACTTGGAAGTAATATGTATTTAAACATAAATCGTTTTAAACAAGAGTCATGTACAATGTTTCTAATTTCAACATCTAACAAAAAGGTGTACAATCACATGATTACGTACTCCACAAGGGTGACTGAATTTGGCCACTGTAGATAACTTCAAAGGATAAACTGCGTTGGGTTAAGCGACCTAACTCACTAAAGTGCTTACAAATAGAAAGCTTCATCATCCAATGTTTGCCTTCTATCAACTAAACTTGATAGTTTTCAGCTCTGTGTTTCTGGAGAACCTGCTCACAGGGTCCAGTGTAATCAGTCCCAAAAGAGCATATGAAAGGTTAGATGCACACAGAAGTGGATATAAGCAGTGGTGTAGCTTTCATGTACTTCTGGAAACTCCTCTGGTTCAAGTACACCAGGAATAAGTCAGTAGGATAGAAAGTGGTCCTGAAACCCTTGGGTAGATAGATGATTTTTAAGTACTTTAGCAATGGTGTGTATGCGTTTTGAATTTGCATCTACTCCTTCACATTCTCCTGTAAAGCTGATTACACTGGATGCTGTAAGCGACTTCTCTCGAAAAGCATGTGACACGAATCATTCTGCTGTCAGTCAGAAATTACTGATTCATTGAACTACGGAACGATAACTTTGGCAGTAAAAATGGCGCATATCTAGACATGGCTTGAACAACAATACAGATCTAAAACTTAATCTACTATAGACAGACACACTACAAATACAGAGGCCCCTGGTTTCAATCATACTATGCCTTAGGCACTTGTTTTGACTTCAGCAGTCATCTCTCCAAAATAACATTCAAAATCGAAGTCATAATGTGTTGAGAGCTGTCTACTAGCCGAATTGGTAGACAGTAATTTACGTCAATGTTAACGTTCTCAAGATTTGTCGTGAGAAAATATGAACAAAGACTGATTCAAAACCGACCACAGCAGACTTTGCGTAGGCGGATACAGTTAACACATAGATGATCTGTTGCCTGGCCCTTGTCTTCTGTTGTTACAATAATATATCTCACAAGGGCTCGCAACTTAAGTTCTAATACTATTGGGGAATTAGTCAAAGTTTTAAATAGTTTTGTTTTTCCGTTTCCTTTCATTTCATATATATATATCCCTTTCTTTCTTTTTGATTAATTTTATTTAGATAAACAGACAGTGAATGATGGCGCACAAATCATGTCGATTTGCTTGCTCTCTGTACTCATTCTGCCTTTATTGTTGTCCATTGTATTTTATATCCGAAAGAGAAGTCTCCGTTTCGGATGGAGTAAACAACAGTTTAAAAAGTGTGGCCTTAAAATAAACTGGAAAAACTGTAGTGAAAGTCAAAGAGAGTATGTTAATGCTGAGAGTAACAGATTTAACCTTTATTGTTATTATTTTTTTGATTTTTGATTATAGCTTGAAACCACACAGTATTTTTGGTACAAGTATGGAATTTTCAGCATGTGATATCGGTAGCCCAAATTTGCAGGCCGACCATAGATATCGGGTGTGGTGTGCGTCGGTAGGGCATCGAACCCCGGACCATGTACATGACCGGCGAGAGTCCTAACCACTGTGCTACCGACGCAATCACTACTTTAATATTGTTTGTTATTCCCTTAAGTTCTTAATAGAAAAGCAGGACTTCAGTAGAATATCGTCAGCTCACTCTGTTCTCCGCAATCCTCTCTAGTTGGCCCCACAATTGGTCATAAGCAGAGCCAAAGAAATATGTTCGGAAGACAAGATTGAAAAAGAACTCGCGGTCATCGAAAAGAACCTTATCGAGAATGGATATCCCCGAAAGTTCATATTAAAGTATATAAATGAAGAAACACACAAACCGAAACCTGACATCGTTGAAAAGAAACCAGTTTTCATCTGCCTAGCGTACAAAGGGGAAGAAGTATCCACAAGAACACAAAAAAGAATCACAGGTGCATTAAAAAGAACGTTTCCAGCAGCCAGACTGATCCTATTTCACAACACTGTGTGCTCGTTAACCCAGTCAAAAGTAGATGAGTACCCTACTCACGTCAACTCCAACTGCATTTACCAATTCACTTGCACTTGCGGAAGCAAGTACATAGGAAGGACTGAGAGGACAGCATCTACTAGATTTTCTGAGCACATTCCTAAGAGTCTCCGTACAAAAGGAAGAAAAGTGTTATCTAGTGCAATCGCCAGACATTTAATTGACACAGGACACACAGTAGAAATTAACCAAGCCTTCAAAATAATCAATACACAAAGAAACCCATGGCTACTTCGCTTCGCATAAGCCATTGCTATCAAGAGATTTCGACCAGACCTCTGTATACAGAAAGATAGTGTGATTAATCTTTCACTACCCTGGTAACCCTAATTCTATTTTATTTTATTTTGTTTTGCCTTTTTGTCAGTATGCCTGTGTGTTTGTCTTGTTACGTAACATTCTATTCAATTTTGACCTTCAAGTTTCTAAATCTACTTAATTGTTTGTCTGTTTAAGTTAAAAAATGTTACTTCACTATTCACCCCCATCCTCTTAAACTCTCCACCACAAGATGTGTAAATTCACTCTGTTCTCTGACCCTGACCCTGTAATATGCCTCTAACCAATCTGTGTTTTCCAATAGAAATCTGAACTCTAACCCCTCTTATCTAATTCCACTATATATAATTAGTTGTTTTTTGGACATCGAATAATCTGTCTACCTACATCAAATTCTGGAATTATGTTCCTTATACCTTCTATCTATAACTCCAAGTAATTATGAAAAAGTATGTTCCAAAACTTTTTTGAAACTTATAATTTAATTTAATTTAGGATGTATGCAGTTGATGAGTATCCACGAAATAAAACGAGCTCGTATTATCCTGCAAACATGTTCGTTCTTTCTCTCTTCAAACTAATAAAGGGAACCGGTTGTATGAAACATTTAATTTCCTTTTCAAATGATCTTTTCGATTTCACCTTCTCAGCTCAACTAGTGGTTTCCCATCCGCATTCCATTCAGGGGTCTAGTGCATGATGTTAGTCTAAGGTCTCCTCGGCGTGATGGATTTTTTATTGGTTCGTCAGCACAGTTCCTTGTTGCTTCTCCTTTCCACATGACCATTTGATTACTAGTATGGAGTATCGGCAGCTTTCTAAGTTTCCAGAGAACTGCAGTTTGATCTCAACTTGCAAACATCATAGTGGTGACTGATAAGATTTATAGTTCTAGAAGCAATGGAACGTTTCTAGTTGTAGAACTCTTATAATTGACCTGGCGCCTTTCCTTTTTTGGATTCACTTCAGTTTGCATTTGTCTTCTGAAGCATGTATATTGATCTGTGAATGAAACGTTTTGTATATGGAACCTGAGACTGATACTTGATGGCCCTTGGAGGCGTTTTCCTGTCGACGTCAAGTAAAATCCTGAGTCGCATCATCCTGGAGAGAATAAAGGACGCACTGGATACAGAACTACGACCAGAACAAGCTGGATTCAAGAAAAGCAAATCATGTTCTGACCAAATTGCAACTCTACGCATCATCATCACAGAACAAAGCATGGAATGGCAATCAAACCTCTACCTCAATTTCATAGACTTTGAGAAGGCCTTCGACAGCGTTGAACGCAAAGTAATTTGGAAACTACCCGAGTACTACGGCGTACTCCGAATATTCATCAACCTTATTGAACAGCTGTACGACAACGGCACATGTCTAGTGATCCACAACGAAAAACTCAGCGAGGCGTTTGCAGTAAACACAGGAGTCAGACAAGGGTGCTTATTATCACCAATGATATTCCTAATTGTGGTGGACTGGATTATGCGTCAGACAGTGCGAAACGAAAAGACAGGGATATCCTGAACCGACGTGAAGAACCTAGAGGACCTGGATTTCGCGGATGACTTATGTCTGATGTCACACAAAATTGAAGACTCACAAGCGAAACCTGACCGCCGAACTGGTCGAAGAAGCAGCCAGAGAACACAGGACTTCAGGTCAACATAGACAAGACGGAGGTTAGGGATTTGAAAGAGGTTACTTCATTCACTTATCTAGGGAGGGAGCATTGTCTCAACTACACGAGGAACGGATGACGATGTCAAATCGAGAATCGGGAAGGCGAGAAACACATTCATCAACCTGAAACCAATCTGGAAATCTTCGTCACTCAACTCAGCCTGCATCAACAACAAAATGATTCGGATTTTCAATACAAACGTCAAGTCAGTCAGTCAGTTCTTCTATACGGATGGATCAGAAACTTGGCCAGTGTGTCACAAAGAATATTTCCAATAGCCTGTTGCAGACCTTCATCAACAGCTGTCTTCGTTCTAAACTGAAGATCAATCAGATGGCCGGAAAGAACAAGAACCAACAAGAAACTATGGGAAGCAACAAAACAAGAAGCAATCGCCCAACAAATATGCAGGAGAAAGTGGAGATAGATTGCACACTCGCTGAGGAAGCCTCTGGATGACATCGCGCGTCAGACAAGTGCTCGAGTGGAACCCGAAGGGCAGCGGCGAGTAGGACGTCAGTGCAAGGGTGACATGGAGGAGATCGTGTGAAGAAGAGTTGAAACAGTATGGACTAACATGGATGGAGGTGAAAAGTACAGCAGAAAACAGAAGCAAGTGGAGACGTGTATTTGAAGCCCTATGTTCCACTAGGAACCCAAGGGAAAAATAATAATAATAATAGAGGCGTTTTCACAATGTTAGATTATAAGTATGCTCTTATATTTCATACTTTAATGCAAGTTGATAGGGAAGCATTCTACTGGTCTGTGTTCACCCCCGCACTGTAATATTGCAGAATTTAGACTATTCTGGCAGTCCATCTATGTGAACTTGATATATATATATATATATATGAAAAGTGACGGGACAGTAGTTAATATCTGATTGGATGGTATCTTATTTTCTCCATCTGTTTTCTGCCCTTCATATCGATAGTCTTTAAACCATATATGAACGTCTGTTGGATGTAGTAAGCTTTCTTATCAGTTATATATACATATATATATGTATATATAGATATACATAAATATATATATATATATTGCTTAAACAAAACAGCAGCTGATCTATAGAAGTTGTGATCACTCTACCTCTGTTCTAACGTTTCTTATATCCCAACGAATCTTTTTATTTTTTGATAGAGAAAGAAAGACCAGATTTGCAGTATAAAATGATATCATTCTATTTCACAGGTTCTCATCAGCTACAAACTACCTGAAATTACAGTGGTTATAAATAATAACATTTCATACTTCATTGTTTGAAAGGCAATAGAGAAAACGCCATAAGATGAACGCATCCGGAATATAAGGACGATGGAACGGTCGAAGAGTCCATCTACAGAAAAGAAACTTGGACCGGACAATACCTTCACTACAACAGCTTCTGCCCTATGAGCTATAAACGGGGATTAGTAAGGACACTGTACGACAGGGCTAGGAAGTTATGTTCGCCCAACAAGATACAAGAAGAATTAAGCTTTGTTGAAAAATGCCTTAAGGAAAACGGGTATCCAAAAGGATTTATCCTAAAGTACAAGAAAGAAAGAGATGAGAAAGAGAAGTATCCAACAGTTGAAAAGAAGAAAGTGTTCATTTACCTCCCATACAAAGGAGAAACATTACCGCAAAAGATTGAAAAAAGGATCAAAGAAACAACAAAGAGATGCTTCCCTACAGCCAATCTAGTGACACTATACAGTACTACATGCTCTATAAGCCAATCGAAACTGGATAAGTACCCTGCTGATGTTACCTCCAACTGCATTTATAAATTTACGTGCACCTGCGGCAGCAATTACATCGGAAGGATAGAAAGAAGGGCTTCTATCCGGTTTTCAGAGCATATTTCGATAAACTTATGCTTAAAAGGAAGCAAATATTTACAAAGTGCAATTACCAGACACCTTGTGGATACGGGCCATTTTGTTGAGATTTCCAAATCCTTCAAAATATTAAACATACAAAGGACAGTGAATCTACTACGATTTGCTGAAGCAATTGTAATCAAACGTCTCAGACCAAACTTATGCACACAGAAAGAGACCATAGTCAATCTCTCACTCCCTTGGTAACCATATCACTTTCATTACACTGATTACTCATAGACACTAGTGAGGTCAACTCACCAAGCAAATTTTCAAATTGATGAACTTTGACCTTGTTGAGTTGCCATGTTGACAATGTTCATTAGATTTTTCTGTTTTCTGTCTTCTTTCAACCCCCCTTTCTTCTTCCTTTTTTCATAGTTTGATAGTATATAAATTGATGGTAACTTAAACTATAAAATTTTAATCCTTATATTCCGGATGCGTTTATCTTATAATGCTTTCTGTATTACCTTTCAAACAATGAAGTATGAAATGTTATTATTTATAACCACTGTAATTTCAGGTAGTTTGTAGCTGATGAGAACCTGTGAAATAGAACGATATCATTTTATACTGCAAATCTGGTCTTTCTTTCTCTAACGAAATTTATCAAGGGAACCAAATGTATGAAATTTCTGAAAAGACGCTTTTTTATTTTTCTTATAATTTTTTAGTAATCACACTCGAAAATCAGTCGACTCAAGTGTGGATGGATATTCTATGGGAGTGGATTTTACTGAATTCGTACAAAATCAGTTAGCTGATGAAATGAACAATAATGACAATAATAATAATAATTCATCAAACGTATCAGCTCTACAACCGGATCAAATTTTTTCAGTAAGACTCAGAATTTATTGGAAATTTAATTCACAATGACAGTTCATACTACTTTAAAGAAAGTCAAAGTTTAAACCACCGACAAATAAAAAAACGCTCATTAAGTGCATTATTAGTTGGCGGTGGCGTTACACCACAGAGTGACAGAAGTGAAAATTCATAGATCATTCACAAGTCCAACCCAGTGGCTGGATGGTCACTTTGTTAGTGGTCATGTAACTCGAAGGTCTTGGGTTCGAGTCTCCGTGGTGGAATGATGACTGTGCACTGTTTAATAGAGTCACAAACGAGGACGAAACAACTCTGTCCAGTATTCCCTGGCTGTTTCCAACGATTCTGTAACTGCTATTGGTTATTGATGAAATCTGTGGTGGAATTCGCCAAAATCCCCGCAAAACCGATAATCTGAAAAAGGATTATTGGTTGGATTCTGAATGAAATCATCTGTACATATTGATGAATAGTTTTAAGTTTTAAAATGAAATACCTTTCCAGCAGTTTCTTAGCTGATTTCCGTCCAAAAAAAATGAAAAAGACATCGTTCGTCAGACTAAAATTATGCCATTTGATAAAAAGTAATGAATATATGTGATTGATAGGCTAATTAAGGGTTTCATTGACGTAGGACAGTGTCTTAACCAGAACTTTCCTGACGCTTATTGTTCTAAAGCTATTGATATTCTTCGAAGTGAGGACAGGAGTAAGACAAGTTGGTTGCCTACTATCGCCAATGATTTTCATGATTGTAGTAGATTGGATAATGCGACAAACAACGGGAAATGAGGAAACAGGCATAAAATGGACTCACACAAAAAACTTGGAGGATCTGGACTTCACCGATGATATATGTCTCATTTCCCACAAACTGGGATATAAGCAAGTGAAAAGCAACAAATTGGAAGAAGAAGCATCAAAGATAGGACTTCCTACAGGTGAACATAGAGAAAACAGAGATGATGAAGATTCCTGGCCAACACCAACAGTAACAACAACAGACAACGATCAGCATAAATGGGAGGAACCCGAAAGAAACAACCTCTTTTACCCACCTACCTGGGAAGCATCGTTCCAACTACAGGCAAACGGAACTGACGAGGATATCAAAGCAAGAATCGGAAAAGCAAGACAAGCTTTCACTACTCTCAAGTCTGTGTGGAGGTCAACACTCAGCACTCAGCATCAAAAATAACATCCCGATTTTCAACTCCAATGTGAAGTCAGTCAGTGCCTCTTGCTATACGGATGGATCAGAGACTTGCACTGCGCGTCATAAAGAGCATCTCAAACAAACTACAGACCTTCATCAACAGCCAGTTGTCTTCGCTCAATACTACTCAAGATCAGATGGCCGGCCGGCCAGAAAAGATCAGCAACAGAGAGGGATCTCTGGCAATGAGCGAACCAACACAGCAGGAACCAACCGATTGTGAAACAAATAGGCAGGAAGAAATGGAAATGGATGGATTGGCTGGCCATACTCTGAGGAAGTCATCAAGTGAGTGACATCACTGGACAAGCGATTGCTCGAGTGTAACCCGGCCGAAAGAGAAGCGGCGGCGAGTTGGTCGTCAGTGCGACGGTGGGTGACTTGGAGGAGGTCATGTGAAGAGGAGATGAAGGTGTGTGGACAGACTTGGAGCGAGGTGAAGACTGTAGCAGAGAACCGAATGCAATGGAGACGCACGGCTGAAGCCCTATGTTCCTCTAGGAATTAAAGGAAACAATAATAATAATTATACTGATATTCAGATATATAGCCCGTCCCAGAATTCTTTATGACAAAAATATATCTTTGTATATTTCCATGTGTAGTTGTTAGAATTCTGAAATCCAGAATGTGCGACTTTCCATTTTATTCATATTCCATATTGAAATATATATATATATATTTACCTTTTTAAATAGGTCAAGCAAATGAGAGGCATATTTAATATCATAACATGTAATAAATGTGCTATCAACATGTCTATTGTAAAGCGTCACATCATCAGTCGAGTATTTCAAGCTTGTCTGTTCAAGGTATCCTATGAATATATCTGCTAAGATGAGTCCTAACAGACTTCCACTGACAACTCTATCAGTCTAGCGGTACATAACACCGTTGAATATGAACTGTACATTCTTAGGTGTTTAAATTCCTGGTTACATGCAAGAAGTAGATTGGAATGTTAATTAACACACAATTTCTATAGTCTATAGTTAGAAGGGATATTTGTATATAATGAGGACACACCAAATGATACCATGAATTTTAAACAAAAGCAAATTCTTGGATGTCCGTCGGTGGCATAGCGGTTAAGACGCTCGCCGACCATGCACATGGTCCGGGGTTCGATCCCCGGCCGACGCACTCCTAAATCTCGCTGAGCCAGAAATAATGCTGGTAAAGAGGAAAGGTTGGGCATGAGGCTAGCAACCCCATCCTGTAAAATAAATGCTGCTACAGAAACTTGAAGCCTCTAGCTTGAAGCCCTATGTTCCACTGGAGGACGTGAAGGAAAAAAATTCTTGGATACAGTGGAAAAGAAGCTGCTTAATATAGGCAAGGGATGGATAAGATGTTGAGTAACTAACAAGTTGAGTAGCAATGACTGGTGAGTTCAGCTCGAGTCACAGAAACAAGAAACAAACAAAGTTACACTAAATCTAAAGAGGCGAGAGGTTAATGCCAACGATTACGTAATCAAGTAAAAGAGAGGATAGGAACATCAATTTACCAGGGTAAGAAAAGACTAATAATTGCTTCTCTCAGAACATATAAGTTGGGTTTTTTTGGCTTTTGATGGCTATTGCTTGAGAAGACTTGGGGAGAATCGAACAATTTTTCTTCTGTTGACTTTATGATGTGTATGGATAAGATGCCTGGGAACAGAACTTTTGTAAGCTTTTATTCTCTTGAAACACAGGCATTTCGGTCCAGATTCAGAAGATAGAAGGTGAACTCTTCTTTCTGTCCTCCTAATGTAAAAATCGATGCCCCCGCAGTTCCATCTTAGAACATCTGATAGAATCCGGGCACCAAGCTACACCGCAAACAAACTTCAAAGTCGTCTACAGAGTAATAAGTGGTCTCCCTGAAGGTGTACGAATCAGACTTCTTCAAACTGCAGAAGCAATGGCGATTCACTTGCTAAGTCCTGAACTCTGCATACAGAAGAAGTTCGTTCAATCACTACACTTGCAATGGACGTAATCTATCTTATTAGCCGACATGTAAATTCTACCTAATCTTTTCTTCTGTCTCTTCATTAGTATTATTTTGTCTTCTCAATTGTAACATTTTACATTTTCAACTTTCTTGTTCTCTACCCCCACCCGATTCAATCTCTACACCCCACTACCACTGTTACTGACTTGAACAACGCTCAGTTTCTAGTCATTCATGTTACGTCATCCAACTTATTTACTCAATTTCACTTCTACTTAATCTCTACCTGTAATTACCTCTGTTGCTACCCTGATCTAAGTTGTAAAATTTTAGCCAATTATATTACGTCATCTAGTTTTTTAACTCAGTCTTACTTTAGTTGCTGTCTGATTAACTTTGTCTCTTTACTACATCATTCTTGTATTAACTAATCAATTATCTAAACTTGACAAACCTCATGTACACACACACACACAAATTATTGTATATAAATGCGATTGTACAGCTATGTGAATGAATTCGCCGAAAAGAGTCTCTTCGCTGAATGTCTTCTCTTTTTCATATAACTCAATGGGGATTCCTGCAATAATATTACCTTTAAAATTCAGTTATGATTTCTTTGTTATTTGAACCTCTACATCTTCTGTATTTGTTAATGAATTTTCGAGGGTAACCGCTGTTTTTCAACATCATTTCAAGCATCAGAAATTCTTCCTCTAATTTCTTTGTAGAGCATATTCTCCTGTCTCCATTAAACAGAGTTTTGACCAGTGCTCGTTTGTAGATATTTGGGCAAAAAGCATGGACCTGCTGGAGACGTTTAGACATAGCAACTTCTCAGCAAATTCAAAGCTGTCAGCTTTTCACCAACTGGCTCTAACTTTGTAACTAACCATCCAGCAGTTTATGGATAGATGCGTCATGGTTATCTCGGCCGGCCGGTCGGCCGGTCGGTCGGTCGGTTTTCTACATAGAACTTTTCACATATATGCGCCAGTTCAAGTCGCCACACTCCCTCCATGTAACACACAAAGCAAGAGAAGAAAGTAGGAGAAATGCATATTAGAGAGAGACAGTAAACAGAGGTGTGAGACAAAGCAATAGTAATAACGAAGAACAAAACAGTTTCATTGGAAATCATAAGTCAGTCACAAGGAGTGGATGCATCTGCGCCAGCCATTGAGAACGATCACTTTGAGCCATGTCACCAATTGTTTCCAACCATTGGGTTTTACCGTCCCGAGGATCCCAACTAGTCAGGAAGTCTACACCTTCCTACGTGGTTGGCTTAGACTAACTGTTGTAGATTTCATTGACTGGTGCCATGTTTTCGTTTGACCGCCGCTGGCTAGCTCTTTTCCAGTCCGAACCTATGTCAGCTAACATTGCCCATTGTCGACGAAGGCGATGACTAGGCATACGTAGCACATGTCCTAACCATCTCAGTCGAAGTAATTTCACCGTTTCGTCGATTGATTTCCCCGCCTTACCTAGCACTCGACGCCTAACCTCGATATTGCTCACCTTATCATACCACTTCACGTGGGAGATAGAACGCAGACACCTATGATCGAAGACACCTAATCTTTTCATGTCTTCTGCTCTCAATGGCCAGGTCTCACAGACATAAAGGAGGACCGAGCGGACTGTTGAGTAGTACACACGCCCTTTGGTCGATAGTCGGATATCACGTCTACGCCAGAGACGGCGCAAACTGGCATATGCGAAACAAGCCCTCCGAATTCGTGCTGAGATTTCGTCGGAGATCAACCCGTTGGCACTGGCTGATGCTACTTCCCAAGTAAGTGAAGCGGTCAACGTGCTCTACCACTTCACTTCCTATTTCTAATCTAGGGGTTGGTGTAGTCCAATCCTGCAACATCTTCTTACATTTTACAGGGGCGAATCGCATGCCGAACATACGAAGATTGTTGCTCAAAGTGTTCAGAAGATTCTGCTGGATTTTGTCAGCGTCCTCGCCTAGAAGGTTATCTTACTACCTGATGACAAGTCGAATGCACAAAGTGCGCACTAAAGATGTATTTGTGTCAAGTGAATAACACGTCATATTCGATAAGTTTACCAGCGATGATATTTTAGCCCACTACCCAAATCGTTGTATCTCTCTCTCATCAACTGAATAAGGTAATATCATGCTTTCTGATTTAGAACCGACTTGATACATCTCCCACCCACCGACAAGAACAGATAATAAAATGTTTAAAAAGTCATTATTGCATATTACGATCATTTGCAGCCTGCCAGGTTTTTTTGGCTCATTTCCACTGTTCAGCTCAGTGTGCTAATGGGTATTGCGGGTGGGAGTTTTCGTTAGGGTGGAGAAATTCCTCGCCTGAATATCACAGACACACTATCCTCACGATTGCTAATACGCACAAAAGGCAGCCTCAAGGATTCCTGATGAAAGCCTACAACCACCTAGTAATGGTAAGAAATCAGTGGGCATCATGATAGCGAGTCTGCTACACTACAAACGTAACCATGAATTAACCAGTTTATCATACAGTCAAGTAACTTTGTATGTAGACTGCTACATGGAATCACTTAGGTGGGTAGAAAGTTCTGTCGAGCGAACGGTACAGTTTATATCCTGATTAGTTAAATTTCTATCATGTAATGTTCTCCTGCTTTTTTCAGAAATTATCTTTTAAAACATTTCAGGTTGATCCCATGATACCTTTACCTCACAAGTGTTACAATCCATTCTGTGGTCATAGACAGCGCAAAATCCTGCTTTCAGTAAACACCAGTCGTCGTCTGGAGAGAGTACACTTTACTGTGCACTTACAAGTAAGTAATAACGAAAAATCATTATATATTTAATTGATAATTGTGAAAATACAATAAAATGATACTCAGCAACCAGTTGCGATCCAATGCACATTTGGCAGTGAGTCACACTGTTTACACCACCTACCTACCTACTAAGTGCACAAGTCTCAGTAAGTGGAGCGGGGTTCAAACCTGTGTCCTAAGGGTTAGAAGTCCTGAATGTAGACCAGGCAAGTCACAACTCCATTTAATAATTGTCTATGCAGAGTAATTTCACAATGATTAGAATTTAAGTGTTTAGCTCACCTACTTTACAGTGTAAGCCAAACAGACAACTTTATTCGTCTGTAATCAATAAATCGCTTCTCGGCTCTCTGAGCTAAGATCATGTGTAGTATCTGTTCTTTGCAGTGTAATTTCTGCAACGGTCTCTAAACTGAGACCAATGAAATTACCTGTATTATCCCTTACGGGCGGGTGCTGTGAGCTTGCTCAACCCCGTCCACGGGTCGGCCTCGTATTGCATTACCTCGACGATTGGCCCATTTATGTGTGCGTCGGTGGCATAGCGGTAGAATGCTCGCCAACCACGCCCCATGTGGTAAGGCAGTTCGATTCCCGGCCGACTCAGTCCTTTACCTCGCTGAGCCAGAACTAAAAACCTGGTGAAGAGGAAAGGTTGGGCATGAGGCTAGCAACCCCATCCTGTAAAAGTAAACACTGCTACAGAAACTTCAAGCCTCTAGGTTGAAGCCCCATGTTCCACTGGGAACTTAAAGGAATAAAAAAAATCAATAAATTGAATTACAAATTTACCAACTTATTTCGAAGTTACTTGTTTGATGTGATGGATAGCAGTGGAATCTTGATATACGATTCTGTCCTATCTTTTAAGACTCCTCCTTAGCCGGATGCACCTGCCTACCCCCATAGTGAGTAATGGAGTTCCCACTGACAGTCGAACCGAGCATCCCCTCGTTTCAGATGTTAAACAGTTATCCAATAAGCCACTGGACCGTGCGAGACATCGCTTGTGCAACGGATTTGATTTGAAATTATTTATTCATATTTGTGATAGCAGACTGACATATATGTCTGAACGGTATTGAAAGGATGTCTGGGTACTGTTACTGTGGTTAGTAACTTGAATTTGTTTGTCTGGCACTGAACTAATGTTGACACACAAATAAATGTACTCGGCGAATATAACTACTATTTGTCACTTTTGACAGCTTTTCTGTTGCAAATGCTAATCATTTTTTTTGTTGAGGGAAAATACATCCATTAAATGCAACTACGAACGAATTAAGTCTGTGTGATGAATTAAAGTCCAACAGAAAATTCGTTATATGCGTGTGTTAGTATTTGGTCCAGTATTGATTTGTTTTTCAAGTATTGGTTTGTAGGGATTTGGTTGATTGGTTACAGGATTTCATGATGAACTGACATTAGTTAGGGAACCATCGGAAAACCTGGGAGTACTGGACAAATGTTCCGTCCTAGTTTGGGACTCTTCATCAGTACGCACCCACCGGGGTTTGAATCCAGGACCTTCTGGTTACAAGGCAAGTTCGTACACCATTTAGTAACTGGGACCCGGTCCAACGGCTCATGAATTCTAACTTCTGCCAATTCACGATATAGCGCAACCGCTAGCCAATGTCTTCGGTGAGTATTTGTCCTCACACCCGACCTGCTGCATGGGCCGTTGGATCGGGTCCCAGTGGCTTAATGGTATACGAGCTCACCTTGTAACCAGAAGGTCCTGGGTTCGATTCCCGGTGACTGCGTACTGATGAAGAGTCCAAACTAGGACAAAACAGCTGTCCAGTACTTCCAGCTGGTTTTCCAATGGTTCTCAAACCAATGTCAGTTCATGATGAAATCCTGTAACCTATTGATTTGTTTATTGGATATATCACATACACAGTATTACTGTATTATTATTATTCCCTTGGATTCCAAGCAGAACACTAGCCTGTATAGCACATCTTTATTTCGTCCTGTTCTCTGAAGTCTTCTTCAGCTAACTCCACAATTCTTTAAACCCAGTCTCAATCGCCGAACTCATTGCTGCCTATTCGGGTTCCACTTGACATCCTGGCGCACGATTTCACTCTGATCCATCTCCATTTTCTTTTGAATATTTCTTGAGTGACAAGTACTTGATTGGCTAGTTCACAGAGTTTCCTGTTGTTGATTCTTTCTGGCCATCTGATCTTCAATATGGAACCAAGTAAGGTGTTGATAAACGCCTACAGCCGCCTGTTGGAAATGTTTTCCGTAACGCACTGGCCAAGTTTCTGACCAATATAGAAGAACTGACTGATATAACTAACATTGGTGTTGAAAATCCGAAATTCGTTCTTTATGCTGCATGAAGGTCTCCAAACTGATTTTAGAGTGATGAAAGTGTGTCTTGCATTTCCGATTCTGGTTTTGACATGCTCATCGACTTTGAAAAGGCCTTCGACAGCGTCGATCGAGAGGTGCTTTGGTAACTACTTCGCTACTATGGGGTGCCAACGACAATTATACATCTCATCCAACAGCTGTACGACAATGCTGCATACCAAGTAATCCACAACGGGAAACTTACGGAAACCTTCGAAGAAGTGAGGACAGGAGTAAGGCAAGGACGCCTACAATCTCCAATGATATTCCTGATTGCAGTAGACTGGATAATGAGACAAACAGCAGCGGGCAATGAGGAAACAGGCATAAAATGGACTCACACAAAAAGAGACTTGGAGGATCTGGACTTCGCCGATGATATATGTCTGATTTCCCACAAACTGGAAGATATGCAAGCGAAAAGCAACAAGTTGATGATAGAAGAAGCATCAAAGATAGGACTTCAGGTGAATACAGGGAAAACAGAAGTGATGAAGATTCCTGGACAAGAACAACAACAGACAACAATCAGCATAAATGGGAGGAACCTGAAAGAAACAACCTCTTTTATCTACCGACCTGAGAAGCATAGTTTCAAATACAGGCAGACACCACTGACGAGGATATCAAAGCAAGAACCCATCGGAAAAGCAAGACAAGCTTTCACTACTCTCAAGTCTGTGTGGAGGTCAACAGTCAGCACTCAGCATCAAAAATAACATCCCGATTTTCAACTCCAATGTGAAGTCAGTCAGTGCCTCTTGCTATACGGATGGATCAGAGACTTGCACTGAGCGTCATAAAGAGCATCTCAAACAAACTACAGACCTTCATTAACAGCCAGTTATCTTCGCTCAATACTCAAGATCAGATGGCCGGCCAGAAAAGATCAGCAACAGAGAGGGATCTCTGGCAATGAGCGAACCAACACAGCAGGAACCAACCGATTGTGAAACAAATAGACAGGAAGAAATGGAGGTAGATGGATTGACTGGCCATACTCTGAGGAAGTCATCAAGTGAGTGACATCACTAGACAAGCCATCGCTCGAGTGGAACCCGGCCGAAAGGGAAGCGGCGGTGAGTTGGTCGTCAGTGCGAGGGTGGGTGACTTGGAGGAGGTCATGTGAAGAGGAGATGAAAGCGTGTTGTGGGCAGACTTGGAGCCAGGTGAAGACTGTAGCAGAGAACCGAACGCAATGGAGAAGTGCAGCTGAAGCCCTGTGTTCCTCTAGGAATTAAAGGAAACAATAATAATAATAATCCATGCAGTTGGCCGTGGTTGAAGCAATGCTTCCTAGATAAGTGAAGGAAGTGACTCTTTTTAAAAATTTATTCCATTGATAGAAATTGATGTTCGTTTTTGTCTGTTGGCTGGTTGTCTTCATCACCTCTGTCTTCTGTATTGTTCACTGGCAGTCCTGTCTATGTGCTGCTTTGTCTTCCGTCGAATTGGTTTTCACCCCTTATATCTACAAATTTACGCGACACTAGATATAAACTGTCCACGATGTCCAGATCCTCTAAGGTCTTGTCGGTTCAACGTATTCGTGTCTTCACGTTCCCAGTCTGTTTGTCTGTCGCATAATCCAGTCCACCACAATTAGGAATATAATGGGTGATATTAGTGGGCAGCCTTGTCCTACCTACTCCAGTCTCCACTTTAAAGACCACAATGATTCTTCCGTTGTGTTGTCAGTTGTAACGATACAATTTTGAAAAATGATTTTTGTAATTCTCTTTATTCCTTGCCATTCATCACATGGGTGGCTGAGTTGTTCAAATGTCTGGAATACATGTTGAATCTTTCTTACTGCAAGCAGATCCAGTTGATTCAATAAATATAGAGGTAGAGCTCTATTCTTTTCGAATCAACTGGATTTAGTTTCAATACGACTGATTCAAAAGGAGTTCTGAACATATGGAAAATCTTATTACCCCTATGATGGATGGGAAGGAATGAACAGAACTATAAAATTCAAGTTTCGGAAATACGTGGTTACTACTCTGGACATTTTATTATTATTATTGTTCCCTTGGGTTCCTAGTGGAACATAGGGCTTCAACTACACGTCTCCACTTGCTTATGTCTTCTGCTGTACTTTTCACTTGCATCCATGTTAGTCCATACTGTTTCAACTCCTCTTCACACGATCTCCTCCATGTCACCCTTGCACTGACGTCCCACTCGCCGCTTCCTTTTCGGGTTCCACTCGAGCACTGGCCTGACGCGCGATGTCACCCAGCGGCCTCCTCAGCGAGTGTCCAATCCATCCATCTCCACTTTCTCCTGCATATTTGTTGGGCGATTGGTTCTTGTTTTGTTTCTTCCCATAGTTTCTTGTTGGTTCTTGTTGTTTCCGGCCATCTGATCTTCAGTATAGAGCCAGCGAAGACAGTAGTTGTTGATAAAGGTGTGCAACAGGCTGTTGGAAATATTCTTTGTGACCCGCCGCCAAGTTTCTGATCCATCCGTATAGAAGAACTGACTGACTGACTTGACATTTGTTTGTATTGAAAATCCGAATCATTTTGTTGTTGATGCTGAGTTGAGTGACAGTGGAAGATTTCCAGATTGGTTTCAGGTTGATGAATGTGTTTCTCGCCTTCCCGATTCTCGATTTGACATCCTCGTCCGTTCCTCGTGTAGTTGAAACACTGCTCCCTACCTAGATAAGTGAATGAAGTAACCTCTTTCAAATCTCTCCCGTTGATGGTGATTGGCGCTGGATGTTCTGCTGCTGTTGTTGTTGTTGTTGGTTGGTTATTTTCATAACCTCCGTCTTGTCTATGTTCACCTGGAGTCCTGTCTTCTCTGACTGCTTCTTCGACCAGTTTGTCGGTTTTCGCTTGTAAGTCTTCGATTTTGTGTGACATCAAACATAAATCATCCACGCGCGAAATCCAGGTCTTCTAGGTTCTCCATGTCGGTCCAGGATATCCCTGTCTTCTCGTTTCCCATTATCTGACGCCTAGATTACTAGCTCGCCGGTTTTCTAGCCAGTCCCAAGTCCGGATAAAGAGGGAGGGTTGGGGCGTGGTGCTAGCAACTCCACCCCCAAAACTTAACCAAACTGCTACAGGAACTTCAACTGTGGACATGACTATGAACAATAAGGAATTGTGTTTGAATTGTCATTTATTTAATAGTACCGTTTTGCTGTGTGTATGCGTGTGTGATATCTAATAAATAAATTAACACGGAACAGAAAATTTGTTTATTTGAGAAGGAATCAATACGCTCACTCTATGTGAACATAGTGAACTAGTTAAACTGGGTGGAGGATTTCATCATGAGCTGACATCAGTTAGAGAACCAACCATTGAAAAACCTCAGATTACTGGACAGTTGTTTCGTCCTAGTTTGGGACTAGTCACCAGTAGGTGAAGCAGTAACTCATCGAAGAAGATATGGTGAAGTGGTCGCGATATGCCATGAATTGGCAGAAACTAATATACTCATGGGCCATTGGATCGGATCCCGGTGGCTTAATGGTCTATGAGCTCGCCTTGTAACCAGAAGGTCTCAACCAGCTTGTTAATATTCTGGTTGACAGGCACATGGACTCATGTGAAAAATGGGCCAAATCCATTTTATCTAACTCACACCACCCTCTACACTCACAACTCTCCCCCCCTTGCATCTCATCAGGCAAAACCAGAAGCCTACATAGAAAACTATATGCTCGCACCAGCAAGTACAAAAACTCAACCATACCCTACTTAGCTCGTGTTCTGTGTGATAAAGAAAGCATTAGGCGTGACACCTATAATTCATTAAATAGTCAGTAGAACAACTGGACCTCGTCTTTCCAGCTCATATCATTTATAGGTACAACATTTTCTTTCTTTCTTTTCCTTTTCTCTCTCTCTTTTTTTCCGTTATGTGCTGCTTTGTTTCTTTCTCTCGCTTACGCCAGTAAATATGACAGCACCTACTTTTCTAACACCTTCAAACACTGTTCAGCTTTGCCTTTGCTACCGACATGCCAATATGTTGTTGTCATAATGAACTGAGATTTCCTTAATCTATATAGAATTCTATTTATTGATAATGTACTAACTGGATGCAATACTGTAGTAAACAAAATGCTGAGAATTCCATTCTGTATCACAAGTACTGTTTTGGAATAAAGCAAATTATTATTATTATTATTACATTACCGACTGTTATTCAGCAGTCAATTTGTTTGAAAGAATGTAATTAAACGTTCTGTTGGAAAAATATGTATTTCACTATTACTGGTCATTCTCACTTTGAATTTTCCCTTTTTTTTTCTTTTCTGGGATACAGAAACTTGTCAAGGTCGGTTAATTCATATGAGCATTCCATCTGAATCCAATTACTTGACTTGTCCACATTTTAAAAGTAGAATATCAGATGTTAGCGCTGATACTACTACTTTTATAAATAACAGTAGTCAACTAGATCAAGCCGGTATATTTCATCCTAAAATTGGAGGACAGTTTTCCACTACAATTCCTCGTTGTTCAACAAAATTTACACACAAAGAATTAAGTTATAATTCGCGCCTTTGTAATAATCAAAAAGGAATTAACAGTAACAGAAGACTACAATACGGAAATTCTTTAATGCTTCATTATGAGCATGAAAACGATATTGATAATAATAACAATAATAATGCTGTTTGTTTAAATGAACTCCGATTGAATTCTATGTTCAATAAAAGTCAAGTTTGTTGCAGTGAATGTGATATTAATAATAATAATAATAATTCGTATGAATATTTTAAATTCCCATGCCATCATCACTTACTATACTGTAATCAATTTATCAATAACAATATTAATAAGAATTGTGATGATAATAATAATAATAACAAAAATACTGGATCTGAGAATTGTATAAACAAGAAATTGACATGTCAGAGAGCGGACTTGGTTCCTACAGACAATGAAGCCTTTAGTTATTTGGATAAGAATTCTACACATATCAATAATAGAAATAATAATATGATGCAAATTGTAGCCAGCACCAAGGTGCATAATTGTAGTGATAATGAAGGATGAAACAGTACTCAGTTTTGTAACTATTATTATGATTATTCATGTCAATTTGTTTACATTTAAATCGAATGTATACATGGAAAAAGTTTGTTTTACCAAACGTTCAGTCTATTTTCGTACAAATATAAATGAATTTATATATAATTCTGTATTTCTCTCGTTTTTTGTAAAGTTTCAGTTACTTACACACTTTTCCAAGAAGATTATTATCATTCAGGAGGCGAAAAGTGTGTGCGTCAGTGGTTCAGAGTTGGTGTGCCTACCAGGTACTCGGGAGGTCCCGGATGAATTTCCCGATGACGCACCCTTAAACCTTGCCTAATTCACTAGCCTGTAGTAAGCACATAAAAAGATGTTCCATATAAGTTTGTTTATTAGATATATCACACAGTGGAACAGTATTATTTACTGGATGACACAGTTTCGAACAAAATTTATTGTTCATAATCATACACGACTTTGACACTTGAGTTTTATAGTTGACTTTGTTCTCTCCTATTTGTCGTCGTCGGGGTAGTAGAATTTTCCCGATATCGGGGACAGGTGATGAATCATTCCTATTACATGTATTTGTAGTTGATTCGATAAACAAAGCTTCTGTTATCAGTCAATCTCTCCCTATACCCTGTGACATTAGATTTTAAAACTGTCATCCTATCCCATCCTTTAAAGGATCCTGTAGAGCCTTTAAAACAAAACAATTTAGTTTATCTAATACCCTGCCTGCAATGATTGTCAGCGAGGTCAAATACATAAGTCAAACTAGTAGAACAGGTTAGCTCAGTCGGTAGAGCATCAGACTTTATTCTGAGGGTCGGGGGTTCGAGCCCCCCATCGGGCGCCAGCGCCGGTGGCATAGTGGTTAGGACGCTTGCCAACCATGCACATGGTCCGGGGTTCGATCCCCGGCCACAGACGCACTCCTTTACCTCGCTAATCCAGAAATAACGCTGGTGAAGAGGAAAGGTTGGGCATGAGGCTAGCAACCCCGTCCTGTAAAATAAGCACTGCTACAGAAACTTCAAGCCACTAGCTTTAAGCCCTATGTTCCACTGGGGAACGTGAAGGATATATATATATATATATATATATATATATAGTAGAACAGGGGCAGTCAGACTAGCTGAACATAAAACCTTAGCAAAATCTTGATTGGTTGACCCGAATGAGATAAAAAATCTAGAGAATAGTTCAGCTATAGCACTCACTACATGCAGTTACACACAACCATACAATAGGCTCGATGGGATAGGATGACAGTTTTAAAATCTAATGTCACAGGGTATAGGGAGAGATTGACTGATAACAGAAGCTTTGTTTATCGAATCAACTACAAATACATGTAATAGGAATGATTCATCACCTGTCCCCGATATCGGGAAAATTCTACTACCCCGACGACGACAAATAGGAGAGAACAAAGAAAACTATAAAACTCAGGTGTCAAAGTCGTGTGATTACAATTGATGAGGTGATTATGAACAATAAATTTTGTTCGAAACTTTGTCATCCAGTAAATAATACTGTTTTACTCACTGTGTGATATATCTAATAAACAAACTAATATGGAATTACTTACTACCACAGTGCCCAAGTTTTACACATATATTAACATAGAAAGTTGGTCTGTGGCTAAAATCCACAGCCTCTACCGAAACCTCAAGGCTTAAAGCTTGAAGCTCTACGTCTCATTTGGAGTCTAAAAGGTGAAAAGAAAAAGAAACAAATATGGATTTTACAGAAATGTTCCATACTATAAATCACAAGTCTAAATAATTGCTTTCTTTTATCAGGTAATAATCTGTTTGGTTTATACTACTAACTAGTGTGAGCAGTTGTAAACTGCTCTTTCGAACCAGTTCGATGTGGCAGCGGCTTCGTCCGTTCTCAGCCGAGCTCTTAAGTGGTGCACCAGAACCAACTCAGTTCAGATAGGCGAATCAATCCAAACTACCCGAATGCTAATCAGGTGATTTATATGTACCACCACAATTACCAGTGTTTAGGTCGCTTCAGTCTGGTCGGCAAGCACTACTGGTTGATGTGAGTAGTCTCCAACTGCTCGTCGATCAATAGTTTATGCCATCATGGAATTTTGCTTGCTTCCCAAGCAGATCAAATACTGCGGCCTGAATACTTTTATTTAATAAAGCAAAACGTGGTGGTCTCACCTCCAACCGTGCTTTTTTGAAAATGAAGGAATCGAAAAGACTTCAAGTTACTTGGGGGCACATATTATCACCAGTACCAAGACCATAAATGGAACGTTGTCACTTGTGTCCAGGATATTACCGGGTTGGTAGAAGCATCTAGGAAGGATGATATCATCTATCCGGTTGTCAAAACCAGACTTAGAAATTCCGTCTAGAATGATCTTCCTGTTAGTCTAACTGGTGCTTTTATTAAACCCCCAGGGGATGATCCTCAGAAGATTAGAGAAGGTGAAATTTGTGCAGATGAAAAGCACAGTTTTGAGTATAGACCTTTATTGCTTTACCAGCCTCCAGTGGCACAGGAAGATTAGGCTAACGTAGTTGGTGATAACATTCTTACCGATGCAGCATCCTTTGATCTTAAGAAGGCTTTTTATTACTTTTTCCATTTGGGTATTCTTGTCAGGTTTCTCAATCCTAGACAACAGCACACCCCGACTTTTGTCAGGTTAATTGCAAATACAGCTGCCTTGGTTCACTTTAAGTGAATAATCCAGTCAAAGAAGCGTGCTTATTGCTTTTCGTTAATTCTTTGTCGACTTGTGTCACTTTACGTCTCTTGATGTCTCTTGCAGTTTGCATCGGTCTGACGTCCTAGGTCTGCAGTAAGCCGTCATCTCCATCGATATGTAAATTCTGTTGTAAATGTGTAGAGATCGCTTTAAAGAAGCAGTTAGACTTCTAACATCCAATAGGTTAACATATGAAGGAGAATAGGAAAAAGCTAGCGGTTAAAGTCATCGCTATCGATTGGCGGGGCAGATGCAACCACTAATTGGCGAGCGGAACATTCGAAATGATATGAGAATAAAGTCAGAATTGTTAGTAGAGCTCAAAACAGGCACCAATTAAGTCACAAGTTTGTTATTACCACGAACTGAGGTCCTGTGGCAGAAGTTTCACCTGAGAAGCTGGTAACTTCGTACTGGCTCATCAGAGGATTTGAAGTACTACAATCGGGTGTCTGATAATAAGTGGCCTTTTGCCCCATATTCCTGTTGGTAGGAATTAAAATTGACTGCAATTGAACAGCTAATACGCTTACTCTTCTTAAGCGTGTATATGAACAGAGGGTTTGTGAACCAACAAAATAAGATCTTCAGTCTTGCCCCTCTTCCTTTACTTATTATTTACCGATCAGATTGAAGCAGCAAGTGATATAGGTTGCACCCCAAACTGCATATCAGTGACCACTATCATAACATATTTATTTTCGAATATTAAATATAAATTAGTCCATCCGCTTGCGCTAATGGACTATTTTTACAATATTCAAGTTGAATACGCACACAAAAATGAATACAAGAATTTCTAAAATAATACAAAATTAGTAACTTTGAAAAATAATAAACTCAATGCTTAAAAAATATTTGCACAGCAGCCCATGTTAATTCAAATAGTATTTATTTTTGGTGCAGGACTATCAGTTAGATGTATTTGTACATGTGATTGTTTATGTCATGTGTTCATGTGAGACATTCGTGAGTAGTACAAAAGTGTGATTTTTAATATCTGATATCTATAGAATCATTAAATGTAATACAAGAATCCTTTTAATTTTGAGCATGTGAATGTTGCTTACATGTATGAATCATAGGGTTACAGCGACAGTTGAGTGTAGCAATTGTATTTAATATCGGGAGAGGCTTTTAAAGACTATATGTTTTTTGCGTGTACATAGTATGGAACAATTAGAAGATATAAAATAAACAAAATTGTCATGTATTTTAGGAGGTTTATAACAGTATTATCGGTTCAGTGAGTATGGATGTGTGTATGAGTGGCACCATGTGTCTCGCATGTGTGTATTACAACAAATGGTAGTGCAGTAAACGTTAATAGAGTAGTCATATATGGCGATATATTTGCAACATCACTGGTTCAATTCTTTTCTAAATCTGAGTCTATACGTTCCACGCACATAAGTATCGTGGATTTTCAAAGAGCCTTTAATGGTTGAGATGCAGAGGTGTGAAATGTCGCAGAGAGTTGACTGATCATCCGTCGATAAGAGATTAGAACAGGAATTTGCATGATTCTTTGAACTGTATGTCCCATTGCAGACAGGAACCGTTTGCATGCAGCAACCATCGTTTGAACTCCGTATTTTGACATCTCCGACGCATGGCTGGTGTAAATGTAGGCGTCGCTGCAGATTGTTACGTCAAGAATGTATGCCACCCCGTCTAGCAAGATAATCAGATCAGGTTGACAGAAAGATGTGGGCGTTGAAACACATAGCTCGACGTAAAATCTCGTATTCAATTTGCGCAGTTTGTTAGCAATCAGCTTGAGGACGTCGTTGTGTCTCTTGCATCTGACGTCATGAGTTAGAGCGCAATGCTGAAGAATATGCTGAAGATTTTCTGGTTGACCACACTCGCCTCTGCAGTTGATGTCCACTCTAGGAGGTCCTCACGCACGTCTCGTTTTTGTGCCCAAGAGGCCTCCACGCAGTCGAACGGCTCTTACATAGAGTTTGGGCAAGACCATTTCGGGGTTGAGAAGCCATTTGTGAGATTCGGGGTATGCTGTTGACTCCGTCAAACTGTAATCATCCGCCGATGAGTGTAGCTGATGTGCCCAGCTTTCATGTGCCTCTTCTGCTGATGTTACTATTTGTCTGTGGGCTTGCCGATCCTAAGAAAAGGTGTGAAGGTGACGGAGGACGCGATGCAGCGTATGAGCGGATTCCTATTGTTGAGTAGTGCCTCGATTCTTTTGCGCCTATGAATCGGAATCGTTGTTGAGAGATTCATGATTCCCAGGCCTCCTTTTTTGATATCAGCGTGAAAAAATGC